AGGATATGAGTTGGTACCGGGAGGCAGGAAAATTACCCATATGCTATATATGGATGACTTAAAAATTTATGCCAAAAATGAAGAGGAGTTAAATAAAATGTTACGGACGGTTCAAACCTTTTCCTCTGACATCAACATGAAATTTGGGTTAGAGAAATGTGCCAGAATAAATATTGTCAGAGGAAAGTTAAAACAAAAGCAAAATATAGAAGACTCCGAAGAAGAACTTATTAAAGAATTGGACCCTGGATCATCATACAAATATCTGGGGATTGAAGAAAATTTTGGGATAGCCAACAAGGAAATTAAACCTCGATTGAAGAAAGAATATTTTAAAAGATTGAGGCTTATATTACAGTCGGAACTGAATGGAAGAAATAAGATAACCGCCGTCGGCACATTAGCAGTTCCTGTAATAGAATATAGTTTTGGCCTCGTAGACTGGACGAAAGAAGAAATCACGCACCTAGATAGAAGGACAAGAAAAATATTAACCATGAATGGTGCGTTACATCCAAAGGCTGATGTGGATAGATTGTACGTCAGCAGGAAAGATGGAGGAAGAGGATTACGACAAATAGAAGCGGCATACCAGAATGCCATAATTGGAATGGGAAAATACATAGAATCCCATCGAGAGGACCCCATCTTAGCCCAAGTTATACATGCAGAAGAAAAAACTACAAAAAAAGGAGTTCTAAAAAGGGCAAAACAAATCGTCCAAGAAAATAAAGAAAACGAGATAATGGAAGAGGGGCAACTTGCAACTTATAATAGCAAAGCCCAATCTCAGAAGAAATTAATAGGCAAATGGGAACAGAAAAAATTACATGGGCAATACCTAAAAAGAATAAATGCCGAAGATATTAATAAGAAGAGCACGCACAATTGGCTACGGCGTGGAAAACTTAAAATTGAAACAGAAGCCTTTATTACAGCGGCTCAAGATCAGGCATTGCGGACCCATAACTATGAAAAAGTAATTCTCAAAGTCCGCCAAGATGACAAGTGCCGAATTTGCCAATCACAATCGGAAACCATCGATCATTTAATTTCCGGTTGTCCGATACTGGCAAAACATGAATACTTAGAAAGGCACAATAAAATATGTCAATATCTCCATTGGAGTATATGCCGAGAATATGGAATGGATGGATTACCCAAGGAGTGGTACAACCACATTCCAAGCCCGGTTACGACAGTAGGTCCATGCACAGTTCTATATGATCAACAAATCCACACTGATAGAACTGTGCCAGCTAACAAACCGGATATCATACTCAGGCATAATGCGGAAAAATGGTGTAAGTTAATTGAGGTATCCGTGCCGGCAGAAAAAAACACCACAGCCAAAGAAGCAGACAAAAGGCTGAAATACAGAAATTTGGAAATTGAAATAACCAGGATGTGGGGAACAAAAACTGAAACGATTCCGGTCATCGTGGGAGCATTGGGAGCCATGCCAAATTCAATAAAAGGAAATTTAAAGAAGATTATGAAGAACCTAAAAGAAGAAACCATCCAGGACATCGCACTATGTGGGACGGCCCACATTCTTCGGAAAATATTATAAATAGCACCACCGATATTCGAGTATTTGTCCCTAAGGAATCGGGTAGAGACCTGGGATAAATGCTTAACAACCCCGACAAATAAGAGCCTTGTCGTGTTTAAGAGTGACCATAATAATAATATTAATAATAATAATAATAATAACAAGGAGGAGGGTTTCAATTTTTTATTCAAATCTATTTTATCGTTAAATTCCACGCATTTAAAAAAATTTTTTTTTTTTGTAAATGACGACGCCATTTTTTAATCTGGATTTAACCCAATTTTTTTTTTCTCTTTTTTCGCTTTCATTTATTAAATTATTGAATACATATTTTTTTTTTTAATATTTTCTTTCGTAATTGCGGGTAAAAAAGGTGGTGTGTGCGGGGGAGTGAGAGAGAAAGAGAGAGAGAGAGAGAGAGAGAGAGAGAAATCATTATTTAAATATTTATTTAAAAAAAAAAAAAAAAAATGAGGCCGATATGAAAAATCATATTTTAAAAGCTTTTTATTTATTTATTTATTTAATTTTTTTTCCCCGTTAAAATAATCTATTGACACGTTTTTTTCGTTTCCCCCCCTTTCCTTCCCCCGGCTCCATTCAATAAAATTTGTTTGTTTATGCAAGAACATTAAGAAAATAATTTTCATTTTTTTTAAATCTCGTAAACAATTTTCAAAGTGAGAGAGAAAGAGAGAGTGAGAGAGAGAGAAAAATCAGCAACCGCGTAATAATAATAATAATAATAATAATAATAATAATAATAAAATCACAACAAAATAATAAAATTATTGTAACGAGTTGAAAGAAGAACTCTCTAGAATATCTTCAATTTTAAACTTTTTCAAGTTTTTTTTTTTTTAACTTTTATGAGATTTTATTGTAAAAGTTTTTTTTTTTTTTTTTTTTATCAAAATATTAGTTTGAGTAGTAGGGAAAAAAAAACAAACAAACAAACAAACAAACAAACAATGTCTCTTAGTTACTTACTCTCCACGACAAATTTAAATAAAAAATTATTAATAATAATAATAATAATGAGTAAACTTTTTAGCAGAATAAAAAATTAAAAATGTGGCGTCGTAACTTTCATTTTTATTTTATTTTTATTTTTTTTATAAAATATAAAATTAAAACGTCGATCTTATGACGCGGATCGACAAAAGGATTTTGCAGTGGGATTAGACGCGGTTCGTAACCGAAAGAGCGAGAGAGAGAGAGAAAATCTCGACGTTTGAACGTAAATAATTATAATTAAAAATACAGAATATGAAAATGCGTGCGGATAATTTAAATTAAAAATATTCGTTTTCTTACATTTTTTTTTTTTAAATTAAAAAAAAAAAATTTAAACAACTTTTTATAAAATTTGACGTTTTAAATTGCAAATGAAAATTATTATTATTATTATTATTATTTAGCTTTTCTTTCTATTTTTTAATAAAAAGTTAATAGACAAACAATTAATAAAGTTTTTTTTTTTTTCTTCTAGAAATTTTCTTCCTTGCGTGAGTCAATGAAAAAAAAAATTTTTTTTTAAACATTTACATAAATACATATAATTATTATTGAAAGAGAGAAAGAGACAGAGATAGATAGCTAGACAGAAAGAGAGAGAGAGAGAGATTTAATCATTACATTTTTCGCCTGAACTTTATCAATTCAATTTCTTAAAAAAAATTCACTACAACGATAAAAATTCAACCGTCCCTAATATCACTCATTTTCGATGCTATTTTAATAATAATAATAATAATAATAATAATAATTTAATTTAAATAAATCAAAACCGGAAGTAAAGGTTTTTAAATGAATCAAAAAGAAATAATTCCAGGAAGGTTATTTCACTTTCTAGAAATCGTATCGATTTTTTCCCCGATCGAATCAAACGAATTCGAGTTCGAGAATCGATTGATTAAAGCAAAAAAAAAAAAAAAATTAATAATAATGATAATAAACGTTGTAGGTTAGCCGATACACAACAAATAAAAATCTATAAAAGTTAATATCAACCCTTAACCACAAATTCAATAATGAAAAAAAATTTTTTTAAATTACATTTATTATTATTATTATTATTTGGCAATTAGAAAAGGGTAAAATTACATAATAATAATAATAATAATAATAATAATAATAATAAAAATTAAGTAATACTGAAGAAGATAAAAAAAAGTAAAAAGAACTCCGCCATTACTCCAACTTTTAATTTTTTTCTTTTTTTTTTCATTCATTTTTTAAAAAAATACAAATTTTTATGCGAGATTAAATAAAATCTACTTCCACGTTTTTATTACTAATAAAATTTATTATTAGCCGTGTAACGAGACGACAATTTCAAACGCCAAAAACAAAACGAAACGAAACAAAGGTTATCACGGCTCGTCGATGGAGGGTTGCGATGTGATAAGACGGCGTGTTATCAATTATAAAAAAGGGGTAGATTACAACATTTAAAAATTTAATATATATAACTTATTTTAACGCAGTAAAAACAAACGTGGAACAAATAATAATAATAATAATAATCGAATATGTAATGTTTAAAAAAAAAAAAAAAAAAAACACTTAATGCCACGAGAAAACTGCAACCATCTGGATTCAAAATTAAAATTTTACGGGGAAGAAGAGGGAAAATACACATGTATAAATATATATATGTGAGTATTAAAAAAATGTCTAAAACCACGGGGATGATATTAAAATAACGACAGAGCAAGAAAAAAAAATTTTTTTTTTTTCTAACTTAAACAGCGTCGGAAAATTAAAAAAAAAAAAAAAAAAAAAAAAACTCTTAATTATTTAAAAGCGAGGCTTTTATATATACAAGCAAAAAAAAAAAAAAACTAATTAATTGAACGAAAAAAAAAAAAAGGTCCAGATGTATGTATGCGGACGCATATACGATTTTTTTTCTAAACCTATATATATATATATATATATATATATACCTCCTTCTCCTTCTCCCTCTTTTCCTCCTCTTTTTTTCGTGGTTTTAGATTAAAAAAAATTAAATAAATTATTTTTTTCTCTCTCTCTCTCTCTCTCTGTCCGTAGAAAAAAAAAATTACTTAATTAATTTAAAACCTTTTCGAATTATTTTAATTAATTCCAGGGAGAATCAGAAAGAGACGGAATAAGACAAAAAAAAAAGAGAGAGAAAGAGAGAGAATAATAATAATAATAATTAACTTTGACGCGTCAAGAGAAATTTAAATAAATAATTAATAAATAAATAAATAAAAATAAAAAAACTATGAAAAAACTTATTATTATTATTATTCGTTTCCGATTAATAAATAAATGTTGTTATAAAAAAAACATGAAAACATAACGATCATGTTGTATTAAAAAACAAACAAACGAACAAACAAACAAACGACATTAACAAAACTTGTATCAATATGAATAAATTATTTATTTAATTTTTTTTTTTTATTAGATTTTAAATTCGCGTCGTTAGGTATGATGATAATAGTAATAATAATAATAATTTACCTGCAACTTGAAGTGTCGCATTTTGACTCCTCGCAATTCCAGCTGAATTTTTAGCAACGCACCAATAAACTCCGCCATCTTGTTCTTTTCTTCCGTGAGCAACTTTAAGAAAAAATAATTGTCCTGTCGGAAGAAGGACTTTATGACTTTTACCATCGGCTTTCACCAATTCGCCATCTTTATACCATTCGATAACCGGTTCCGGTTTTCCGTCCGCTTTGCAATTTAACGTCACGGGTTCGTTTTTAGCGACTAAAACATCGATCGGATGTTCCGTTATGTTCGGAGGTCTCATTTCCGCTAAAATCATAAAAGAAAGAAAAAAAAATTTATTAGATTTTGTAAAAAAACGATCTGTTTCAAAGTGGCACTAGACGTTTAGGTGTGTTAACGCACGATGGGGAAAAGGAGGGAAGGAGGAAGGGAAATGAAAAGGAACAAATCCTTTTCTCTTATTAACTAAAAAAAACTTTTTTCCCGCCATTTTAAATTTAAAAAAATATTAATAATAATATTAATTTTTCCAAAAAAGTAATTTTTTTATTTTTTTAATAAATAATTATCTCGTTTTTGGAAAAATTATCCAAACTAAAAAAAGGAAAGGAAAGGAAAGAAGGGGAAAGTTAATAATTTATTATTGGAATTTTCCAGGTTTTTCTTTTTTCTTTTTTTTTGGAGAAAACGATATGAACGACTATGAATTTTAATTACTTTTATCCTGTTAATTGACTTTTGAATAATTAATTTTTTTGAATTTTGTAAAAAAAAAAAAAAAAATGATTTTAAAAGGTAATTTAAAATAAAAAAAAAACTTTTTATTACTTTTTTTTTTAACTTACCCTCCTCCTTATTTCAAATTGCCATTGTTAATTTTATTATTATCATTATCAATTATATTATTATTATTATTATTATTATTAAATGCGACCGAAAAAAAAGTTTTTTAATTCTTAACTCGCACACACGCAAAAAAAACGTTTTTTTGTTTTTGTTTGTTTGTTTTCATATTTAAACAATTTAAATTTTAAAAAACAAATTATATAGATAATGATAATGATAATGATAATAATAATAATAATAATGACAATAATAATAATTGTCTCAAGTAAAAAAAAAAAAAGAAAAGAAAAAACATTAAAATAGTAAGAAAAAGATAAAACAAAAATTTTTTTTCTCCCCCCTTCTTTTTAAATTTCAAAACTCGTATCATTTTCTTTAAAAATGATTATTATTATTATTATTATTATAATTGCGAACAAGATAATAAATTATACGTTAATTATTATTATTATTATTATTATTATTATTAATATTTTTAAAAATTTAAATATTAAAAAAAAATTAAAATTAAAAAAGGAAAAAAATTTTTTTTTTTATATTCAATTTAAAGTGGAAAAAGAAAGAAAAAGAGAAAGAATGAGAGAAAGAGAGAGGGAAATAATCGATAAATCGAAATTTTATGTTTATTTTATTATCATTATAATTATAAATTTATTGGATTTTTAATTTAATGAGAGATGACGTAAAAATAATAAGAAAATAAATTTAATTAAAAAAAAAAACCCGAGTCGAAAGTTTTTATAGATTTTTTTTTTTTTTTTACCAAACAACTTTAAACGCGGAATGGCGGAGGAAAAGTAAGAGGGAGAAAAAAAATGATGGCGATTAAAACGGATTTAATATGAAATTCACGGTAATTTTCAAATAATTACCAAAGTAATAAATCATAAGATGAGTGAGATAGAAAAAGAAGAGAGAGGGAGAAAGGGGGGGAAATTTTCCTCTTTCTCTCTCTCTCATCTTGTGCAAAGAATACAACAGTGAAATATTATTTGACGTCTTTAAATCCACCCAGGAATTTTTCAAAGATAATAAAAAAAATGAAAGAAAAGTCAAAAAAAAAAAAATACAGAAAAAAAGAAAAGAAAAGAAAAAAGAAAAGAAAGAAAAGAAAAATCTAGAAAATTTTTTCTCTTTATTGTCGTTAATTTAAAAAAAAAAAAAAATTAAAAATATTCTGTCGTAAATTTTCCGTTAGACTTAAAGTTACATTTAAAATTACCTGTTAGAGAAGGGAAAAAAAAAGAAAAAGAAAAAAAGAAAGAAAAAGATAAAATTGATTAATTTAAAGAATGAATGTAATTGAAAAAAAAAGAGAGATAAAGAGAGTGAGAGAAAGAGAGAGAGAGAGAGAGAAAATTGCGGTGGTGATAGTAATGAAGGTAAAAAAAAAAAATTTTTTTTTATGCGAATTCTAATTTGAATTTTCCCGCCAAAAAAAACGAAATTAAAATTTTTTTTTCGGTATTTCCTCCTTTACCCCCTCCTCTCACTTTCCGCCCTCTCCCCCCAATATTCATTACATTTAATAAATGAACAAAAAAAAAAATTCGTTTCGATATCCTTAAGGGCAAAAAAAAAAAAATTCAACAAATTAATTATTACATTTCCTTTTTTTAAATTTCCCGCCTTTTTTCTTATGACACGATCGATTTTAACTGATCGTTATGGATTCGTTATAAAAAAAAAAGAGAGAAATGAATAAACACTTTTTCTCTTTTTTTTTTTTTTTTTTTTTTTTTTTTTTTGTTTTCCATTGGCTATTTATTCAAATGGAATATCAGATTTTATATCAAAGGAAAACAATAATAATAATAATACTAATAATAATAAAACCGTTCGAAATTTGCTTTGAGAAAAAAAAAAGGAGAGAAAGAAAAACAAATAAAAGGTTTTAATAATCAAACAAAGGAAGAAAAGAGAGAGAGCGAGAGGGAAAAAAAAATTTTCCTTTTTTTCCTTTTTTTTTTTTTGTTCAAATCATTGATCATCCAGATTGAAACTGAATTGTGAACTAAACTACAAAAAAAAAAAAAAAAAAAATATATATATATATATAAAAGAGAGAGAGAGAGAGAGAGAGAGAGGGAAGAAAATCCAAAACAAAGGTATAAGCCGGGTAAAAAAAAAAGGGACGTTCATACTCGAATTCGAAACAAAGGAAAAAAAGAAAAAAAAATTTTTTTTCTTTTTTTTTGTTTGTTTGTTTGTTTGTACGGATTTTTCAAATGTAAACATACAAAAAAAAGAGAGAAAAGAAAAAAAAAAGTTTTACAAACTTGGTTTTTTTTTTTTTTGAAAAAAAAAAAAAAAAAAAAAAAATTGAAAAAGGTTAACAAACACAAAAATATACAAAAAAAAAAAAAAAAATTGTAAACAAACATAATTGGATAGGAGCAAACAAACATTGTCAACAATTAAACAAACAACTTCACGCACACACACAAAAAAAAAGTACATTCTAATAATAATAATACGTGAATGAGCCAATTTTTTTTTCTTGCGTTTATTTTAATAAACGTTATAATATCGTCTGCTTTCATTAAAAATAATAATAATAACAATAACAAAAGAAAAAAAGAAAACGTTGGAAAAGTTTTTTAAATATTTATCAAGCTGTATTTGAATGGAAAAGAAAACTTGAAAGACGAGGGAATGAAGAATGAGAATGAAAGCGAGAGAAAGAGAGAGAGAAAAAATGGAAAATAATGATAATAATTTTTATACAATTCGTAAATCTTAAAACGTGTTTCGTACCACCGTCACCACCACCACCACCGCCGCCATATTTAAATAACGTGAAAAGGAAAAATATGAATATTTGTGCCACCGACTTTGCTTTCAACGAATCTATCAGGTTTCAATGAAAGGTCCAAATGGACTCGAACCTTCATCAACTGTCATAGTGCCTGTTGTTTTAAATATTAATAATAATGATAATAAATACGTCGACAGTTGTTTAGATTTGCACTCGAAGTCAGGCAGGCAGGCAGGCAGGCTGGCTGCCTGGTTGCTTGGATGGTTGGCAGGCAACGTCAAAAAAAAATTTTTTTTTTTTTTTTTTTTTTTGTAATTATAATTATTTCTATAAAGTATCAGCAAACGTTATTATTAATTGCTTTATAACATGCTATGAATTTTTTTTTTTATGACTCATCAAAAAATAAAGGGTGTTTTACTCTCTCTCTTTCTCTCTCACTCGTACGATTCTATTTCCACGTGAAAAGGGAAAAGGGATCGATCGACCTGATCGTAACCGACGCCGTAAAAAAAAAAAAATTTTCAAACATTTAAAAAAAAAAAAAAATTCGCAGATAAATAAATAATAATAACAATAAAAAAACAAAATTTTAAACTGAAAGTTATATAAAATAAACGAAAAAACAAAACAAAAAATAAATAACTTTCCCCTCCCCTTTCCACATTTCCCGCCTCCCTATACTCCTCCCCAAAAAAAAAAAAAAAAAAAAAAATGGAAAATGAAAAACGAAAAAAAGAATGAAAAATGATAAATGGAATATCGAAGTTGGTGTAATGTTTGAAACCATATATCAACTATGGGCTGTGGTAAATATTAAAAAATGTCAAAAGTTACCCAGGGTGGGAGGTAGAGGGGGCAGGGATCGAGGTGAGGGGACGAGGAAAGGACGACATTAAACGATAAAGAAATTTTCCAATTGTAATTCAACGAGTTTTCGCACACACACAAAAAAAAAAACTAAATTTCGTATAAATCAAATTTTTATGGAATTTTACTATTGTCCATATTAATTTTTTTTTATAAACTTTTATTATTATTATTATTATTATTGGTAACCGACAAAAAAATAGCTGAATCGAAAATGATAATAATAATAATAAACGAAAGAGAAAGAGAGAGGAAGAGAGAAATAAAAATTAAACCAAAAATTAACGTGAGGTTAAAAATTTTGGTTTCTGAACTCGCTCAGATGCATTTAAACCCACCCCAACCTCCCTCTCCTCCCCTTCTCCCTTCTCGCTTTAAACTAATTTTTAAAAAAAGGCTCGAAAAGGATTTAAAAAAAAAAAAAAAAACATTTTATTTTTAATTAAATATATAATTAAAACTAGTTTTCTTAATTTTTGCTATCGTTTGTATAAATTTTTTTTTTTTGCTCTTTTTGCAAAATTTTTTATTTTTATTAAAAAACCTTTTCCGGTTTAAATGTTTTCTCTCTCTCTTTCTCTCTCTTTAAATCCGGTAATTAACCTTACCTTAGTTGAAACCCAAAATTTAACAAAAATATTTTTTTTTTTTTAATTTTATTAATGTTATTATTATTATTATTATTATTATTATTTTTTATTTTTTTTTTTTCATAAGCAACAAAAACGGAAGGGGAAGAAGAAGAGAGAGGGGAATATTCTGATAAAATCCAGGTAACGAGAGAGAGAGAAGGAAAGGGAAGAAGGGGAAAAAAAGGACGATCTTTTTTTTTTAGGTTGGTA